AAATATATAACATTTGTTTAAATAATGAAAACTAAGAATTAGGTAATCGTTAAAATAGATTCATTAATAACTAATAATAATCAACAAAAATATATAATAATTAAAATATTGCAATAAACGATCATTTCTTATGACTAAACAGGGACAGTTTATTAGTTTTGCTCCCCTTGTGAGTGTTGGGTACGGCTAACGTTCCCAAAAGCATGCGAGCCTTGTCCTCGTCCTCCTCGGGTTGGGTGGCGTTGGCGTCGCTCTCAGACGACAGTGACTTAGTTTTGGTGTTGATGTGGAACTTGTGTTTGAGTGCCTGCGAGAGCAGCACCCGCTTCGAGTCGTTCTTGAGGGCCATGAGTAGGTCGAGCCACGTCCACGTCCTGTTGTGGTACTCCATCGTCGGTAAGATTATGGACACGTTATGCAAGTCCTCTAAGTTCTTGCCTTTGTTGCCCTTATAGCTCACTCTTATGGGCACTTCCGGTATCTTAATGTAGACAAACGTCTGGTTCTTCTGAGCCCTTTCGCGCATCTTCTCGATGTGTCTCTCATTATCTTTGGTCATCTGCAGCGTCGAAGTGGTGGTCGACTGACCGCTCATAGACTTACTGGTGATAGAGGTGAAGGTGGAGGAGCTGGTGGTGCCGTTACTCGATATGCTTTGAGCGCTTTCGTCGCGCTTCAGATTCGAGCGCTTCTTCGCCTTCAGTTGTGACTCATTGCCATCGTTTGGTTCGGAATGTGAGGTCTGTTCCGACAGTCGGTCCGGAAAAAAGAATTTCAACATATTCTTGAAGAAAGCGTAGGTCAGGCCGAGAGTCAACGGTATGACATTGACCTCCAGGTGCTCCTTGACAGAGATGCCGCCCACGGGAGCCCTTTCTCTGCAGAATATACGCAAAGCTATTTGTCGGTCGAGTGGTATATTTGGCTGCAATTCCGTCAATTGGATGACATCTTTGTAGACCTGATTTGGCAATAGATTAGAGCAGTGAATGAATCCCAACTCAAACGAGTGCTCAACTGAATCGTCATTTTTGCTGACTTTGGTGTACAAGAAGTTACTCAAAACCAGATCAGCCAAACCCAGCTGTCCGTCAGTGGCGGTCAGCCGCCAGACGGCGTGTTTGAAGCAGACTTCGTTGCGTCGGATAACGTTGGCGAAGACCACACCTCCCGCCTCCTGAGAGGCCGTCTGTCGCTCTTTGGTCTTGGAGGCCATGAGTTGCGCCTCTTTGAAGCAGTTGATCATAATAGTGAGGTCTTCACTCGCGATGTTGAGCTCCTCTTTGCACTCATCCATCTCGAACTCAATCTGTTGCGCGTCGGCCATCAGTTTGAGCTCTAGTGGAGAGCCCGAGCCGTGCTCTTCGGCCAACGCCTTATGGATGGCATAACACTCCTTCTCTATGCGCTTGATTTTGGTGACCAGTGATCGCACTTTGTCCTGGAGTTGAGATATGGGTTCCCTTTGGTCTTCGATTGAACTCAATTGCATACCGAAGCGAATGCTCTGTTGCTTCTCATAGACCTCCTTCTGGTGCGGTTCGACGTAAAGCAACAGATTGTTCACCAAATCCATGATCATTGAGAACTGTTGCGAATTAGTGCTGATCTCCAAGTCGTGGTGAGTCAGAGTGAATGTGTCGACCGCTATCTCCCGATCCCAGGGCTCCAGGAGAAGGAGGTCGTTGTCCTGCGGCAGAGGCGGCACCTCTTCGTACTCATTGGGGTCCACGTTGTCGTCATACGAGGCGTAGAAGAACTGACACTTACAGCGGGAGACTATGCGCTGCAATTGGATGGAAGGGGTGCCGCCACTCGACTCACCGCCACTACATGTGCCCACTTCTGGACTCACGACTCCGCCCACACTGTGTCCACTGCCCACCAGATCCGGCAATTCAATGATATCGCGATTATTGTGTTCTTCGATATTCTCGACTGTAAGCCATGTTATGTCTTCGGGCTGTACGCCTCCCTCGTCGACAGTGGCGTAGTATTGCATGCATTCAAGCAATCCCTGCCACGTGCTCTTCGCATAGAGGGTCCGGTTCTTCCAAACGGGTCTATGGATTCGCTGCAATATCTGCGCTTTGGCCGCAGACACTATCACATAACCGTCGGTCTCGCAGCCCCTGAGCATCACCTGTGAGTTGATTAACTCGATTAACCAGTTGTGTTGCAACACATCCAGTGTCTGACACGCCTCCACTCCGAACAACTGCGAGCCCTCTGTCCGCACGGCGTTCTCGATGTCCTCCGTATAGACAATGTTAGAGCTCTCGGCTTCTGCGATCAGCTTCTGTAGCATATGTGCGGCGTGTCCTTTAGAGATGGTCGACGCCGGGCTTGTGGTCACCGTTTGCTGCGAATTGCGTTTCTTTGGCGAACCTGACTGTCCGTCCACTTTGAACGCTCTCAGAGCGTCGGTCGATAGGTTCCGCTTAAGTAATTGTGTTTTGATGTATGAGTCAAACAGTCCGAAGGCGACGTCCCGGTTATCCTTAGTCCAGGCGCCGCGCAAGTCATGAACTACTAGTCGATGTGTTGGCGCCTCGGCGTCGATATCTCTCACATTAGACGGCGATTTGGTCTCACGATTGTACGACACCTTTCGTACACTCATGAAGTACTGGCGCTCCCCCTTCCAGTCGCTGTCATTCATAGTGGTGTCCACTCCCGGCCCCTTATATAGGAATATCTCGACGTCAGATAACTCCGAATTCATGTAAAGCATATCCCAAACGGGTTTAGTTCTGAACCACCGAACGAATCAAAGTTAATAAAAAAGTTCATAAATGTGTTGCAATGTCTTCACACATACCTGTGCTTCAAGTTATCATTGATAGGCATAAACGATTGCAAGTGTTCCGCACTGTGTGTCAGATTAGAACTGATTATCTCAAAACCTCTTTGTTTGTTAAATGATGACCAGTAGGAGACCTGAGAGATAATGACATTCATTAGAGTATTAACCAAACAATCCGTTCAATTGTCATGTAATGTGAAAATTACCTGAAATTTATGCAAATAAACGGTGACTCGAATGGACTTAAACACCCGACCGAAGGGCAGTTTCCTCGGCTTTGTGTTGTTGAAGAGTTTGCCCCTTCGGGTGAGCCGTGGAATGCCTGCAATCATAAACATCTTGTTCTCCAGCCATCGAAGGGTCGAGTTATAGATGAGAACATTGGGAATGTCTTCTTCGTTGCCAAAAGCGATGCCTTTGGTCTCCAAAGAGGCAGAAATATTGAGATTATGGGACCGAAAGGAACGGTACGAGTCGTGGACCTGATTACTGGAATACTCGGGCACTTTGTTGGGCGCACAGGGCATGACTGAGTGGTGATCGGTCTTATGTCCGACACAAACCCAATTCAAGTTGACATAAATGGAGACATTCGGCAAATGAATGATTCGGCACTCGTCGTACTTGGAGGCCGTGTGCACCAGAAGGTCGAGAGTGCCCTTCACTAGGATTTTGCCGGAAAGCCATTCGATGAGCGACTTGTAGAGTCCGATCTCAATGAGTTCGGTCGAGTTGTACGGGTCTAACGAGGCGTGGAATAGGAGTGACAGCTGTTCCGATACGATGACCAGAGGGCCGTGGAATAGGAATCGCATTTTGTCCCACCAGGAGAGGGTCGGACTCGGATCCAGTGACGGCTTGAATATCATCTCGAAGGCCAGTGCCAGCTGCTGGAGCACCGGCTCCCAGGAGGCGCCGTGAGTGTAGGACAGGTTCGCCACGTCGAACGTCACGTCGTGATAGATCTTCAGTGTAGTCATCGATCGTTCGATACATATGGGCTCGAAGTTAGGGCCGATGTCTATAAAGCAGGTCCTCTTCGCCCGATTGCTGGCCTCCTGTTCGGCGCCCAAAACGATGCCCCGAAGTGTCAGATCCCTGGCATCGGTCATCGGCTGCGGAAAGTCGCGCAGAGAGACGACTCCACTGGCGATAGTGGCCGACACTCGACGGCACCAAATCGTATTGAATCGGATGTCTTCGGGGAATGGGCTCTCGTTGTCGATTCGGCGCAAAATCGACACTTTCTGTTCGTATGAGTTATAACTGGAATCATTGACGACCTCCAGTTCCATGCCTTCGATTTTGACGCAAAACAGTCGGGTCCTCATCGGCGACGAGTCGTACAGTTTCTTCGAGCGCTCGATATATGTGTTCGCGTTTTGTTTGGCGAACGCGTTGTGCAACTCATCCAACTTCGACGCCGGGAGTAATATATTCTTACGCCTCCTCTCCTCGATCTTCTCGGACAACATCTGCCACCTCTTCAGCGACTCCTTGTACTCGTCCTCCAAGAGCTCGTAGTTATCACTTAAGCGCACTTCGAAGGGGTCGTCCGCCACTTCCATGGAAGCGCTGTGTATATTGAGAAGAATGTCGGGAAACAGCGCTGCCTTCGACGGTTGGCTATCATCTGAGTCCTGTCTGTGGAGTTGTCTCAACCACTTGACAATTGTAATCAATTTTTCGTTAAAAATTTCGGCGAAATTATAGAGATATGGAAACGAGACGACTATGTTGTCGATCAACACGAATATCGCTTTATTTCGTTTGGTTTCCAGACTTGGATTCGTGTACTTCTTGCGGTTTATTATTGATTGAGAATCTGATTCTGAGAATTGATTCACTGATACATTCTGTAAATTACAAATCAATTATCAATTTATGGTTTAAATTTGTGAAAATGTATTCATATTTTAAGTCAACTTTACCTCTAAAGTCATTATTAAATTTTGGTCAAAATATAGCGAAAGGTATTCACATTTTGTACTCATTTTATTAGAATGAATAGAAAGCGACAGAAATTCGGTTTCAAAAGCTATAGTATTGCCTGAATTGGACAGAAGGGCACCGATACTGATCTTCCCCTCAAGTTTGACGTTCACTGACAGAGAGGACAGGGATTCGACGGCATTATTGGTTTTGGTCATCACTTTACACAAGAACTCTTCGTACAAATCAATGAGAGTTATATGAAAAGAGGGATTCCATTGAACGAACACCTCTTCTGTCAAACTAATGGTGTTTTCGTGTGAGTCGTGATTGAGATTAAGCCGAACCACAGAGAAGTAGACAATTCTGTTCTGAATGAGTTCTGCGGCCCTCAGACACGAGAGTGTGGCCGACGGCGCGTACATCGGACTCAACGCCAGACCATTGATACTTGAGGTGAGTTTAGAGGCGTTGGAGTCAGTGGTGGCTGAATCGACGCGTAACATGAGATCAGACGTGAATAGGTTCACCTGGGACAGGTTCACTTGGATAGAGCTCGACGATAGGTTGCTGTTCAATGATGTCTTGGATGTCGAGTAGGACTTCAAGTCGTATTGATTGAGAAGTCCTATAAAATAGTCTAAACTTATTTGAATGCCATCCATAACACAGTGGACACGGAATTCCGAGTGATTCATATGACGGCACTGTTTGGATAATCATTGAATGAATATATGAATTCAAATGATAACTAATTGTGAGCCGAGAATACCTTTAAGATGAGCATTGATGTGAAGAGAGGCACATGTTTTTGGTGATACTTCTTAAGAGAGTTAGGATTGGATGGCCTTAACTCCCGGCTCCCATTCCAACACCAAAATGTCTCCAATAAAAGCTCAAAACTAATATGAATTAGATTTGTTAATATCATATAAAATACATTTATGTCTATAAATCAAAACCTCATTTCTTTAACCAATGGATCAGAATTGAGAACAACTCCGATCTTAGCGTGACTTAAGCCATAGGTGACCAATGGTTGGGCAGATGTGATGGGTTTCACCGAAAAAGTAATGTCATTGATGTCTAGTTTGACACTGAATTTGGACAAATCCTTCGTAAATGTATTACTGATGGCAATGTTTGGTTTGTTTGGATTAACCCCGAAATCGGTGTTCGCTTCGTATGTTTTGTGAAACAATTCAATCCAATAACTAATCTCTTCGTCATTATAGATGATATGACACGACGAGAGGTCGGAGAAGACAATCATTTGGAGTCTCTGTTCGATCGACTTTTCTCTCTCGAATTTGGCGATCAGATTGACTCGAGTGATGGTCGACACCATGGCGTTCGTGTCATTCACTTTCATGTCAGACACTATGAGCCGGGCCTCGAACTCAGAGCTTCCGGTCTTTGTAAAGTCGGCTTCAATTGTGTTGATAAGTATAGTCAACGCCTTCTGACCCGAATCTCTAACCAATTTCACTAAAGTATTGTCTGATTTGAAAATAACACTTTTGATGAATTTGTGAAATTCATTCTTCAGATTATTATTCATCACTTTATGGACTAAACTATCGCTAGTATTGGTCGCCGTATTTGTCGCTCTGTTACTGTTTGCCACTTTCAGTGACTTGAGAATGGGTAGGATATCGTAAAATATGATCTGCGGCTCAGACATCACCACTTGGGTCGAGATCTGATTGCTGTCCTCAATGCGAACGCTACACAGCAATGAGAGGGACACCTGTGCTAAACAGGTCTCTCCGCTCTCCTTTTTGGTGTGTTTTAAGAGTTTCAACGAAATTCCCTCGAAGTTTGTCGTCAGAGTCAACCGATTCTTGGATACTGTAGTCAAATAGATTTGAATCATTTGTATGTTTGAGTGAAACAGGCATTCGTTGACATTGTTTTCGTTAATGAGTCCCAATTGCATGAGTGATGTGTTGTGCAGTGATATCGATATGAATCTCAGTCTCGACAGAGACCTCAAGAGATTCAAGAAATTAATTACTTTTTGTGGGATTTGTTTGCTTTTAAGTCTGACTGCCTTTTGTTCACTGCTTTGACTCGTATTAAGCGATTTGAAAGCACTGATCAAATCGCCTTCAAATCTAATGTCCGACAGTTTCAGCACAAGAAGTGACGCATACTTTTGGTTCACTAATTTGGTCGACAGTCCGATGCTCTCGATCTCCTAATTATGCAAACAATTGATGCAATCAAACGCTTAGATTTCAGTAAAAATAGCATTTAAAATACAAGTTATTTCTGGAAATCTATTAAATTGGTGAAAATTATCGACAGTCCGATGCTCTCGATCTCCTAATTATGCAAACAATTGATGCAATCAAACGCTTAGATTTCAGTAAAAATAGCATTTAAAATACAAGTTATTTCTGGAAATCTATTAAATTGGTGAAAATTGTGTAAATTATTTGAGTACATATTCATTACTATTTATGCATACATTTCTCCCAAAAAGTTCATTGAAATCATTAGTTGTTTGAAAAAAATAATTACATAATAATATAAATAATTTCATTGGACTAATGCTGTAAACGGGAATTTATAATTAAAAAGCTAATTCCTAACTGTAAGTGTGAAAACCCAAAAACTCCCACAATTTGTGACTACATTTGGATGTATTATGTTAATTAAATGTAAATATAATTATGATGATGTAAACTCTTATTCAATATAAACTTAATGAAAATGTTATGAAAATATGATTAAACGCATAAAAATTGTCGTTTCATGCGTTCATAGACTAATGAATAAAATATTTCATTAATTATATTATATATTCAATTAAAAGCTGATTTGAAAAACAAACACAAAACAGTAAACATGTTTTTATAAGTTATAAATTATAACAATAATTATAAATCAATAAATCACTAGAAATATGGGTAAATGTCTCACAATATTGACGCCAATCTGTGGTAAACTCAACACAATCTGATTGATGGACAGAAAGCCGATGCGATTGACCCGCAGTTTG